GATCAGCGAAATAAAAGTCCGAAAAAGGAACACCAGCAGAAATAAAACGCGACGGATTTAACTGCACGGAAATTGTACTTTATTGTCTGCTCTACTCAAGTGAAAAGATACGAATAAAAAAAACGTCACAGCGAAGTGCATCGTCAGTTCGCCGCTTCTTGTTGGTATTGGTGTGAACATCGAGGTAATGACACGCTGATCTCAGGTTAGGCAGAAGGTGGTCATTGTTTACTCCCACAATAAAAATGAATAGCGCCAATTTTCGAACTTGAAAACTCATCCGTGATGTTTGCACTGTTGAATTTTGCAAGGTAAAACTCAAAACTGGTCCACCTTATACAACATTCTTTTGACGAATTTTGGAGGAGACGAACCAGCAGAAGGAACAGCTGCAACAATAGCAGCAGCAGAAGCCGCAAGAACAACAGCAGCATTGGAAGCAGCCGCAGCCGTAGGAGCTGCATGGCTAATTCGTGTATCCGTGGACGAGGCTGGAAACCTCGTTTCGGTCACGACACCGCTGTCAGCTGTTCTAATAAACGGATAAAGTTCAGATAGGAAGAAATGTCGATGCCGGCGCCGGTGGTGTAGTGGTAAGCGTGACTACTTTCTCACTCTTCAATGGGTCTGGGTTCAATCCCAGTCGAGGTCGATGGGATTTTTCTGAGGCATTAATCTCTGGTCACGTCTTCCTTCGGAAGGGAAGTGTGTGTTTGAATGGGTGCGATATCCTACGTAGGTGTGGAAAGCTGCCTTTCTGCACATTCGATTGCCGTCAATGGATGGCAATCGATGTCCGTCGGTGATTGGCACTAGATTGCGGAGCAGGGGACCGTCGTTGGGTGATAAAGATGAGCATTGTTTCCGGTAAGGTTGGGATTGTGGAGTGTTGCTATGCAACTGATTGCCCTGATTTCTTCATCCTCGGTGGTCGGAATGATTGTACGCAGTCCGGAACGGAATGACGTACCTACTTCGGACAGGCATCAGGATGTGCGCTGACAATTCGATTTAGGAGAATCCATGGCGAGACTTGGTGAAGATTCACGGTTGTGCTTTGAAAAAATTGAAGCAATCTCATGATTTTGTTTAATGAAGGGAATATTTTCGGAATTAGTAGGTGGTACAAGGCCTAAACCCAAGGGGTAGGTCACTCCGCACACCACTCTTGGGTCAACATTTTTGTTTACTCATCGCTGAGTTCCTGCACTTTATGTGATTTATAAGTAAACTAAACGCAAATTTGGGTAGTTCTCATTGGTCGTGTATTTGGGTAGGGAAGGAGGTGAAGCGTATAGTCGCTATATTCATAGTCTGGCGGATAGAATCTCGGGAACCAATTGAGCCGTCAAATAGCGGAACCAATCGAGCAAATCATGACCAACAACAGAAAAGAGCACATCAGCTATTGCGAACAAAACTTCGGAAACCCTTTTCTCGTGACTCAAGGCTTGCCTACGCAAACTAACACCATCTTTGGGTTGAGGAAAGTTTCCCCTATCCGATGATGCCGGTAATTTGTGTTCGATTGGCGAGGAAAGAATAATCCACGGTTTGGTTATAAAAGTTGATAGTGCCTTTTCAATTGTTGGTCTACAATATATTGAATTGGTTCCGCTTTTTGATGGATCGAAATTCTATCCGCCTGACTATGAATATAGCGACTATAGTGAAGCGTGGTGACTAACCCACCTGCAAGCACCAGCAAAATTTGGCTTCACTCGAGTTGTTCGCCGATGACAGGCGTTTCAGTCCTGTGGTATCCTCTTCCCTAATAAAATGTGTAAGACTATTTTGCTTAACGACGTGTTCAGGGTATCATCCAAACCATTTATGGAATATTTATATAGTTTGGGTTATCGTTCGGCTATGGTATTATTTTTTATTAGGGTTACCCTTTGGTCCCACTTGCTCCCCAACCCTCGTTAATTTGAACAGCTAAACTTGGGGGCTCATTTAGAATTTATTTAACCCTCCGTTACTCGCGCTGTTGTACTTTGTACAACACACATGAGTTTTCCATTGCCATTTTGTTGTTGAGTTACCAATCGATCTGAAACCAACGAGTATTCCTCAAAAAACTTGTGTTTGTGCAACGTCATTTATATGTCTAACTACCCTACCCGCTGTAACGAGCAATACAAATAAACAATACAACAGTGTCTCGTATGCCTCCGCCATGGCAGGACGGCAAAGCAATCGGTGTTTTTTATATTTAATCAATCCGTATCACAAAAACACAACGTAGGGATCCCGCCCGTGCGCGATCAACTTGTTTTGAGCTAAACAAGCTAAACTTTGATTACAGTAAACACCTAAAAATGCGGATAATAGGGAAAATGTAAATGGAAACCGCGTAAACTGTGACCATACTACGTGGGATTTGACTTAATTTATTACAACATGGAATATATCGAGATCCTGATCAGATATAAAGTTACTGTCTACGACAAAGTTGTTCAGGAGATCATAGCCTTGTCGCTGGTGAACAGTAGTTCAGAATTTTCTCACTAGGTAGCGCTAGTATCCACGTGAAATTATCAAATAAAATATCTCGAGTTCCCAACCAGATAGAAAGGTACTGTCTTCGGCATAGTTGTTCAGGAGGTCAAGGCTTTTTCTCAGGACAGTAGTTCAGAGTTTTCTCACTTTGCGGCGCTACTATACATGTGAAACTCTTGCATATAAAATATCTCTAGATCCTGACCAGATAGAAAGTAAATGTATTCGGCAAACTTTTTCAGGAAGTCAAGATCTTTTTGTTGGGTGCTCAATAGTTCAAAATTTTCTCGATATGCGGTGCTAGTATACACGTGCCTTTCTCGCATATTCAATAGTTCGAGATCTTGATCAGCTAGAAAGTTGCTGTCTTCGGCAAAGTTGTTTAGGGGGTCAAGGTATTTTAGTTGGTGGACAGTAGTTCAGAATTTTCTCACTTCATGGTGCTAGTATACATGTGAAATTCTCGCATATAAAATATCTCACGTTCTTGACCAGATAGAAATTTACTGTCGTCGGCAAAGTTGTTCAGGATATCACAAAATTTTTGCTCGTGGCAGTTGTTCAAAATTTTATCACTACGTAACGCTAGTAAAATGTGAAATTCTCGCCTGTGATATATCTCGAGATCCTGACCAGATAGAAAGTTACTGTATTGAACAAAGTTGTTCTGGAGGTTAAAGCCTAGAACTTGTGAGAAAATTCTGAACTACTGTTCACCACCCAAAATACCTTGACCTCCTGAACAACTTTGTCGTAGACATAAAACTGTATATCTGATCAGGATCTCGAAACAAGCCACATGCGAGAATTTCACGTATATTCTAGCGCTACGTAGTGAGAAAACATTGAATATTGAACTACTGTCCACTAGGAAAATCTATCTGATCAGAATCCTGAGACATATTACATGCGAGAATTTCGCGTGTATACTAACGCCACGTAGTCTGAAAATTCTGATCAATTGTGCACCAAGCAATAGGCATTGACCTCATGAACAACTTTTTCGAAGACAGTAATTTTCTACCTGTTCAGAATCTTGAGCTTAGCATACGCGAGACATGTACACGTTTACTAGCGCCACGTGGTAAGAAAATTCTGGGCTACTGTCCACCAGCCAAAAAGTCTTGAACCCCTGAACCATTTTGCCGAAAACAGTAACTTTTTATCTACTCAGGATGTCGAGTTATTGTATATGCGAGAATTGCATGTGTATACTAGCACCAAGTAGTGGGAAAATTCTTAACAACTGTCCACCAACGAAAAGATCCTGACTTCCTGAACAACTTTGCCAAAGACATTTACTCTCTATCTGGTCAGGATCTAGTGATGTATCACATGCGAAAACTTAACATGTATATGAGCACTACCTAGTGATAAGATTCTGAACTACTGTTAACCAGCAAAAATGCTATGATCTCCTGAACAGCTTTACCTAAGACAGTAACTTTCTATCTGGTCAGGCTCGAGATATTTTATATGAGAATTTCACGTGTATACTAGTGCCACGTATTGAGAAAATTTTGAACTATTGTGCACCAAGAAATAGGCTTTGATCTCATCAAAAAAATTGCCGACGACAGTAACTTTCTATCCGGTCATGATCTCGAGATATATCACATGCGAGAATTTCACATGTATTCTAGCGCTAATTAGTGAGAAAATTCTCAACTACTCTCCACCAGCGAAAAGGTTATGATCTCTAGAGCAACTTTGACCAAGACAGTAACATTCTAGCTGGTCAGGATCTCGAGATTTTCCATGTTGTAACCAATTAAGTCAAATCCCACGTAGTACGGACACCGTTTACGCGGTTTCCATTCACATTTTCTCTATTATCCGCATTTTTTGTGGGTTTACTGTGATACAAGTTTAGCTTGTTTAGTTAAAAACAATTTTTTTAAAGGAATACCCGTTGGTTTCATATCGATTGGTAGCTCGGCTGCAAAATGGCAATGGAAAACACACACTGTTGTACAAAGTACAACGCACGAGTACTCGTGTTACAAAAGTTGGTGCGAGTAACGGAGGGTTAACTGGTTCTGCTACATAGGGTACTAAACGGGGGCCTACGGTTTATTTGATGTGTTTCAACGAAATAATTACTTCGCCAGAATTATTCTGATAAGAAACCTTTATCACAATTTTGGGAACCATTCGAGCACCTGCCCCATGTAGGTACCCTCCCGTCCACTATCAACGATGACCTTCAGCCGCCGTCGTTTTGCCTTCAGCTAGGTTTGGAGTGAAACCTCGATGCCGCCCGTTTCATGAACACACATACACATCATACCCAAGGCCTGCTACGGATTTGTTTGTCGATCGAGAAATCCGAGAAAAACATAATCACCTGTCGCGCGCAGGTGGGACCATTCCCAAACAAAACCAATATCGATGGGTATTCTCTGAACAACACTGCAACCCAGCTCCATTTACAAGAGTAGCTCCGCTGTTTATCATGCATTAAATCGTTAAACTTTATCTTTTCTTTGAAATTTCAGATTTTCGCAAACGCACCCACATCACCATCGCGGTCTTAGCGCCGTCTTTCCTCGACGGTATGGTCGCTAAGGGCGATGAACGGCAATTCCGCGACATTCAACGGTGACTCTGATGTAAACAGAGACAATCTCATACAACACTATACGACTACTATTATAGTCTGCCAACACCGAAATACCAAAATACGCAGTGGTCGCGGGCGCGTGTGTGTAAAAATATAAAACCGAAGAACAACAAGACCTACGACATCGTCGGAAACCGACGGTCCGACGGTGGCAGAAGATTACATTTTTGGGGCCAATTCGCGACGAGATTCCAAGATGATAAGAAGAAAACAATAATCGCGTTTTTTTTTACAAAGGAGAAAACAGTTTCGTTTTGTTTTTATTCGTGTATTTTATGAGTTTGCTGAGGAAAATTCGAATGACGTCAACGAACGAATCGCAGTGAGCAGCGGTGGAAAATCACGAGGGGAAATCCGAAATAACGTGGTGCCAAAAAATAAATCGCAGTCTACTGCCTACGGAGCTCGCGGTGTGCGATAAGAATGATAAGACGGAAGAAGGTGTCGTGAATTTCGTGTAGTGTTCAGAAAAGCGGTTACAAACACAGAGCAGAACCGGTTGGGGTGCGAGTGTTGCTGCAGTGTGCCGGTTGTTAATGGCCAATTTGAAGAGCTTTCTCGGTGGCAGCAGTGCAGCCGAAGCTTCAGGGATGGCCATCGTCGTGGGAACGAGCGGGGGCAGTCAGCTACAGGACAAGTCATCGCGAGAGACGGCCGCTGATAAAACTGGAACCGTAGAATGTGAGTGCATCGTTCGGGGCGGGTGACTTGTTTGGCGGGTTAGACTTAGCGGTAATGTTGATTGTTTAATTATGGGACTGATGACAAGTTTACTTGGTGACTATAAATAGGGATTTAGAGCCCGGCAAGAGGTGGCAATTTGTTGCCATCTGAAAAGCGGTGTTTGCCGATGGAACCTGATTTGCATAATGCATATCAGCGAAAAGTTATTGTGTTTCTGTTCGAGGTGAAAATTCAAAGAAGTAATGTGACAATACTAAAGGGTGTCCACGATGAAATTGCCACACACAAAATTGATTCGCAAAATTCGAGTTTTCATCCGATTGCCATCAAATTTTCAGGGATTGAGAAATAACTATTAAACTTCATTTTACCATTTTACTCGTATTTTATTTACAGTTCATACGCAAATGCCCGCACCTTGGCCTTAACCCCGGCCATAAGATTCTACACAACCTGTGAATCAACCGTTTTTTGCATGTAAACCCATACTTTCTTCAGTTCCTCGACTATCTTCACTACCTTAGGTCGTTTAAGAAGGTGCTGCTTCATAATCGCCCAGTACTTCTCGATGGGGCGGAGCTCCGGAGTGTTGGGAGGGTTGAACATTTTCGGCACGAAATTGACCTTATTGTCCGCATACCACTTCAGCACGTCCTTGGAGTAGTGGCATGAGGCCAAATCCGGCCAGAAGATTGTTGGGACGTTGTGGGCCTTCAGGAGAGGAAGCAGCCGCTTCTGGAGGCACTCTTTTATGTACACCTGTCCGTTCATCGTGTCCTGGGTCACGAAAGGTGCACTCCGCTTCCCGCACGTGCAGATGGCTTGCCAAACCAGGAATTTCTTCGCAAATTTGGACATCTTCTGAGTGCGGACATGCTCCGGAACGCTGAACTTATCCTTGGCCGTGAAAAACAGGTTGCCGGGGATCTGTTTGAAGTCGGCCTTCACATATGTTTCGTCGTCCATGATGCAGCATTCAACTTTCGTCAGCATGTTGAGGTACAACTTCCTGGCACGGGTTTTGGCGGACTTGTTCTGCTTCTCGTCGCGATTAGGGGCCTTTTGTACCTTGAACGTTCGAAGCCCACCCTTAGTTTTGGCCTTCTGGACAAAACTTCGGCTTAGGTGCAGCTTCTTAGCCACATCCCTAACGGAGGCGTTCGGATTTCGGTTGAAGGCCCCAACTACGCGGTTGTGATTTTTGGTGTTGTACGGAATACTTTTTCCTTCACTTCTGGGCTTCCGATCGGTGGTCAACCGTTCCTCGAACCGCTTAATCACTCGCGACACCGTGGAATTCGCGATTCCCAACGTTTTAGCGATGGAACGATGCGAGAGATCCTTGTTCTCGTGATGAATGCGCAAGATTTTATCACGCACGAGCTGTTCTTTCGACTCCATTTCCGCGAGTTTTGATCACAGGACTTTAAAACTTGCAGGATGTAAATAATGCACTATGAACTAAATCCACCCAAATTTTCATTAAATTCTACCCAACGGTTAAAAGTTAGAGCAATTTCATAGTGTGGCAATTTCATCGTGGACACCCTTTACACTCAACGATATGAGAATTTTCTCTAGGGTTTAGTGTTATGTGCATAGTTTCTCTGTTCAAACAAAAGATTTTTTTCTGTACAATGAGCTGCAGCTCGAAGTATTCAATCAGATAATGTGAAAACGTTGTTTATCTGGATATGCGGTGCTAGGCAGTGACAACTGGAATTCCTTCAGTTCGGCATTTGAATTGTCGAAGGGAAGCAAACTTCATTGCTGATTTACGATGAGCGCAGTACTGCCGACATTTTTCCGTTTTGTCGGTTAAAAGCATACAACAACCAAACAATATCACTGTATTACATCTTATGTTCAAATGCCATAATAATACTCATCAGAAAACAAAGTGAAATGTCCTACACGGCCAATGAGAACACCCCAAATTTGAGTTTAGTTTACCCATAAATCGCAAAAGTGCAGAAACCCAGCGATGAGTAAATTTGCCTCATGTTTTTCCAGGTTGTCCAGGAAAAAACTTCCGAATATGAGAAAAGTAAAGATTGGATTCAATCAGTCTACTAGGTACTACTCCTAGACTGAATAAAATTTTCGTCAATTTCCTCATTTTCCGGCAGATTTTTTAGGTTTTCCACAGGAAACCATACGGCAAATTTACACATCGCTGAGTTCCTGCACTTTTGGCGATTATGAGTGGACTAAACTCAAATTTGGGTCGTTCTCATTCACCGTGTACACCTCATCAACGATGCCAGATTTACAGGCTTATGAACACGGAAAAAGTAGACACACAAAAATAACAAACTGTGCTTTGGAACCCGCTCAACGTGAAAATATTTATGTTGCATGAAATGTAATACAAATGCTGAGTGATTTCTTTTGCTCGTAAACGCTCCTAGACCTTGTATTGTTCTTTGGTTCGCTCTACATATAGAGTGTGCAGTTGTTGTTGTTGTTGTTCTTTTTCTTCTTCTTCGTATTTCAAGCTTATTGCATATCGCATATTAGCTTATTGCGTGCTCTCAACTTAGTGTTCTAGATGCACTTCCACAGTTATTAATTGAGAGCTTTCGATGCCTGTACCATTTTTGCATTGGTATAATTCTGTGGCAAGTCCAATCATACTTCTATGCCCAGGGAAGTCGAGAAATTTTACAACCCGAAAAATTCCTAGACCGGACCGGGAATCGAATCCAGCCACCTCCAGCATGGTCTTGCTTTGTAGCTGCGCCTTTACCGACTGAGCTAAGTTGTTGCATGGGCTCCAAAAGGGCCCATTCAAATATTACGTAACGCAAGAGGGAGTGGGGGTAGTCTGGAAATGTGTTAAGCACCATGTATTAGGTATAGGAAAAGTGCGAGACTAGGGGGTGGGGGTATTCAAAAATCCACTTTTTTGCGTTACATAATATTTGAACGGGCACAAACAGTATACAACAAGCAGAAGCGATTCAACGCAAGTTTGTCCGTTTTGCTCTTCGACGATTGCCTTGGAACGATCCTTTCAACCTCCCTATAGGGTGTCCCAGAAAGTATAAGCACACTTTCAACTCGCCGTTATTTCTACCCCGATGAAGTTTATCAGCTGTTCATCGATGTATGTTGTTGTTTACTTATTGCCCAACAAGTTTCAAAATCATCATAATGCGAGGCATTTCCCCGGAAAAGCGCAAACAGATCGTGCACAAATGGTGCACTATTACCAACCTATTAGTAAGGAAGTTGACGAAAATGGAGGAAGGAAGTATCGGTGCAGTCCAAACCGCCATCCGTAAGTTACCTTCGAGGACACATCGAAATCTGGCCGTGCACCGGGATTAGTGGACCAGAAGATCACCAACCTTTGGCCAAAAATAAAAGCGCTTCTGTTCGAGATTTGGGCAAGAAACGGGCTGAAAACGTTCAAGAAGCAGAAGAAGCCGAATTGGAGACAGAACAAGCCGCATCCTTCAAATCGACGTGTGTTATCATGGACGATGAAACATACCTCAAATCTGACTGCAAAACGCTTCCGGGAGATCAATACTACACAGTCCGTGATGGTCAGGAAGACGATGCCGATAAGTATGTGCGATAAGTCAATGTTTACTGAAAAATTTGGTAAGAAGGCCATGGTTTGGCAAGCGATATGTGAGTGTGACAAGCCTTTTGTGATGATGAACACTGAAATTTACGTCCGGGAGTGTTTGAATCGGCGTCTGCGGCCCATGATCCGTCAACATGATGGCAAAGTACTATTTTGGTAAGTTACTGCCTTTCACAAAGTTTTTCAGGAGGTCAAAGCCTATTGCTTGGTGCTCAATAGTTCAGCATTTGCTCACTACGCGACATACGCTAGTATACACGTGAAATTCTCAAAATATCTCGAGTTCCCAATCAAATAGAAAGGTACTTTCTTGGGTATAGTTGTTCAGGAGGTCAAGGCTTTTTCGCAGGTGGACAGTAGTTCAGAGTTTTCTCACTAGGGGCGCTAGTATATACGTGCCTTTCTCGCATATTCAATAACTCGAGATCATGATCAGCTAGACAGTTACTGTCTTCGGCATAGTTGTTTAGGGGTTAAAGACTTTTTGGCTGGTAAACAGTAATTAAGAATTTTAAGAAAAGTAGTAGTTGAACCCTTATGCTATATCATTCATACCATTGAAATAACCTAAGGAGATCAAAAATTGGACGTAAGATGAGAGAGCTTTGAACAAAACACATTTGTATGTTCACCATCCGGAAGAACTTTGCCGCATGTACAACTTTGACGATGACAGTTACTTCCTGACCTTAAGCTATAGCATATACAAATATTGTACATGCACACTAGCGCCGCATACCGGAAATATTCTGAACTATTTAGTGTTCACCAGCAAAAAGCTTTGATCTCCTAAACAACTTTGCCGAAGGCAGTAATTTTCTAGCTGTTTGGGATCTCGTGCTGTAGCATATATGAGGATTGCACGTGTATACTAGCGCAGCGCAGGGAGAAAATTCTGAACTACTGTTCACCAGCCAAAAGACCTTGACACCTCCTGAACAACTTTGCCGAAGACATTTACTTTCTATTTGGTCAGGTTCACGAGATATTATATACGTGAATATTTCACGCTAATACTAGCGCCGCGTAGTGAAATAATTCTAAAACATTCTGCATCAAAAAATAGGCTTTAATCTCCTGAACAACTTAGTTCAAGACAGTAACTTCTAAACTACTCTCTACCAGCGAAAAGGTTATGATCTCTAGAACAACTTTGCCGAAGAGAGTAACTTTCTATCTGGTCAGAATCTCGAGATGTTCCATGTTGTAACCAATTAAGTCAAATCCCACGTAGTACGGACACCGTTTACGCGGTTTCCATTCACATTTTCTCTATTATCCGCATTTTTGGGGGTTAACTGTGATAAAAGTTTAGCTTTAGTTAAAAACAATTTTTTTAAAGGAATACCCGTTGGTTTCATATCGATTGGTAGCTCGGCTGCAAAATGGCAATGGAAAC